AAGTAGAGATGGTTGAGTCATTATGTGATGGAACATTGCAAAGACCATTGGAGATATCAATGCTGATAGGCAAAACAGTGTCTGGAAATGGATTTAACTTATAGGGAAGATGTTACATGATCCGAAAAGGGAAAGATGGTTTCATGAAAAACCACATCCCGTGACACAAAGAAACATTTGAGTTGAAGGTCATAAAGGCGATATCCCTTCATTCCAAACGGATAACCAACAAAAACAACATATGCTCGGGGATCAAACTTATGGCGATGAGAAGTAAGTGTGGAAGCAAAGCACAGTGAACCAAACACCCTTAATGAAGCAAAATCAGGCGATTTACCATAAAGGATATGAAATGGGGTAGTCCAAGCCAGAGATGAAGACAGTGTTCTGTTAATCAAATATACTGCAGCTAAAACACAATCTCCTCAGAACTCCAAAGGAACATGAGACTGAAAATAAAGGGCTCTCGAGCCACGTTGACGATGTGTTGATGCTTGCGCTCAACAACTGAATTTTGTTCTGGTCTTCCAACACAAGAGAACTGATGTCTAACCTTTTGATAGGAAAAAATCCTTAAAAGCTAACTCAGGGGCGTTGTCTGATCGAAAACTTTTGATAGATGCCCCAAATTGAGTCTCAACATATGTGAAAAATCGAGGAATTATGGACAGAACATCAACCTTATTTTTCATAAAAAATATCTAAGTATATCTATTATGATCATCAACCACTGTAAGGAAATACTTATGACCATTATAAGTAGACCGTGTAAACGGACCCCAGACATCAGCATGCAACAAATCAAAGGGACGAGCAGCTTTATTATTACTAGAATCAAAAGACAAGCGTTTTTGCTTTGCCAAAGGACATATCGAACAAAGATGCTGCTTACAAGTATGTGAATCAAAACACAAAGTATCACGCAATACATTTAAGCGTGTAAATGATGGATGTCCAAAACGATTGTGCCAAATATCAAACTTAGTTTTACTAACAGCCATAGAAGTATGAACATCAGAATTTAATGAGGGAACATCACCAGTCAATGAAGAATCCTCAAGAAAATAGAGACCGTTTCTCAATTTACCCCTGCCAATCGTCTTCGAAGTAGACTTGTCCTGAACAACACAAGAATTATCAGCAAACAGAATCTTTATGTCTGGAAATTCATTGGTTAAAACACTGATCGAAATCAAGTTTTAGTGGAAAGCAGGAATATAGAAAACATTAGTGATATAATGTCTGATGTGAGCTTAACAGTTCCAGCACACTCCATTGTGAAATTGGACTTATTAGGTAAACCCACAACAACTGGAGAAATCTTTGCCAAAGATTGATAAAGAGATGCTGAATAGCAAATGTGTGCCGAAGCACCAGAATCGAAAATCCACAATCGATTTTCAAGCAAAGAATTAGGTGAAGTACCTGCCATATATGAATTTGCAAAGTCATCTGAAGTGTTTTTGGAGGAATTCATCTGAGATTGAAGAAGCTGAACCAATTGTTGACACTGAGCTGTCATGTCAAAAGTGGTTTGAGAAGCAACCATTGCCTGAGAATCAACAGGCTTGGATTGGGGAGTAGGACTTTGTGAGGAAGAATTGCTTGGCTTGTGTGACGAAGTAGATGAAGAATGACGTTGGCCTGAGGATTTAAAGCCAGGGGGATAGCCGTGTAATTTGTAGCAACGCTCAACTGTGTGACCTAGAAGTCCACAGAGAGCGCAAAAATGGTGCTCACGATTTGTCCTTGAATTGGATTTAAAATTTGGTTTTGACATAGTCTTTCTAGAGGACGACGATTGTTGAACAGCAAGTGCAGATGCAGGTGAAGCGGAATTCGACGATGAAGTCGTATTGATTAAGTGTTGCTGTTCTTCTTGATTAACAAGAGAAAACGCTTTATTGATGGTAGGTGGAGGTTCCATGAGTAATAGTTGAACACGAATCTGAGCATAGGATTCATCCCATGAGGAAATTCATCAAATACTCATACTGAAGGAACTCAGCAGCAGATTTGGCGCACCGCAAGAACACTTGCAAGAACATATCGGTCGATATTGACTCAATTCGTCCCAGAGCGACTTGATTTTTGTGAAATAAAAACTCATCGAATGTTGTTCTTGAGAGCAGGTAGCCAATTCACGCTTCAATTGAAAAATATGAGGTCAATTGGTCTTCTCAAATCTTTCCTTCAGGTCGATCCAAATGTCTCGAGCAGATTCAGAAAATAGGATGCTCATGGAAATTTCCTTGGACACCGAATTGAGGATCCAAACAATAACAACGTGATTGTTCCGAATCGGGAGCAAATCTCCAGAGGGACGCGGAATGGTTCCATCAATAAAACCTAACTTGTTCCTGAGTGCGATTATCATCGATCGACTCCACGACGTATAATTCTCCTCAGTGAGAAATTGATTCATAAGAACAAGACCTGTGTTATCAGTATGATGAAGGTAGTAGAGATTCGGAGGACAATCATTATCAGATGAAGGAAGAGACGTAGAAGTCGGAATTGTCTCAGAGGACAACGGCGGTGTAGAAATGGGGACGCTGGAATCAGTCATGGCAAACGAAGAATGAGAAGAAAGTCAAAATCGAAATATTATCTCTGATACCATATTAGACTTGACACATAAATGTGTAAACTAACTTTCTCATTTATTCTCGAAAGTACAAGATTACTTAAATAGAAAATTTACGACTAAAATATATCAATAATAGAAAGCATAACAAAATAACTAATTAGTTAGGTATTTACAATAATACTCCAATACAAATAAAAAACCACTTGTAGAATATATTATTGATCAATTATTTGACAGAGAAAGTGGAGGTTTACTCATTTAGATTATAGTTAACATTTCAAGTTTATTCAGTTATTTATTGATTATAATATGTATATTTGTAGCTTTTGCTTGATCCGAGTCTTCAAACATTTTATTCCTTTCAAGATTCTTATTTAGTTCATAGTCGAACTCAAGTTAGATTATCTTAGTTATTGAACATTTTAATTTTTTTAAAATATTGTCATTTTAATGATACTATTAATTCATCACAAGTGTTAATCAGATAAATTTGAGTGGTATAAGAATATAGATATTCCTTATATTCACTATAGTGATATACTGTTATTAAAAAATTATGTACAAAGACAAAAACACTCACATGAACAAATAAAGTACCGTCAAAGTGAGGAAAGGTTAATGGTAATTGACATACAACTCAAATCAAAAGGTTGCGAGTTCTTTCTTTCATCTCACATGTTGTACTAAAAAAACAAAGAAGGTACACCAAAAGTTTTCCTCCTGCCATGGCTTATGAGCGGGAAAAAATTACAACCAGAGAAGCGCGTCTGTTAAATGGGATCGATCTATGGGCGATTCCACGAAACAAAAAAAAACCGTCTCTTCGACATGGAGGTTGAGGTATGACTTGTGAGCGGATTGAATAAGTTGTACATGTACTGCCGACAAGGATCATAAAAAGTTTATGAATTCATAGGCTTGGCCAGATGTTGATCTACAGAAGGCTGGGATAAAAGCTTTAAGTTGAACCTTCTAATTACTTTAAATAATCTTAGTGCCGGCTCATACATCCATGTTCGATGGAATCGTCCCAAAATAAGACCCACTACCCGACCCATTAAATTATGTCACCGCTACAGCTCATAACCCATGCGTGGCATGGCAGTGGCACCTAAATCCATCTCAATCTCAATCCCTTAACTAACTACCTCTACATTACCGGCAATCACTACATTTTGAGAGTATAATAACAAACATAGATCTACCTTGAAAGTGTGTAGACCAACACCTATCATTAAATTGTGAAAAAGTAAATTAGGGGTTAGATTACGTTGAGAGATAGAGTGGGGCCATATTGTCTCCTTATGACCCAAAAAAATACAAAAATAAAAAATCGTAACTTGGAAAGTAATTAATTCATAATGTTTGAGTTTATTAAAATGAATTGACAAAATGATTCCTTTATATGAGAATATATTTTTATTAATCATCCATCTTTTAACTTGATGAAATAACATGTTACTTAGCCATAAAATTTAAAGTTCACTCATTTTATATGATTATGTAGTAAATTATTGGACCTTAAATTACTTGTTATATTGACATATGGACCGTTAAAACATTGATACGATCGTGATTGACAAAATCATAAAAGTTACTGTTTCAAGATTCATTTACTGTGGTTCTTTTAATATTTTGTTAGTGTAGTATCTTAATTAAAAAAATAAGGCAAAACATGAATGACTAAATTAAATTTAAAAAATATATATAAAGACAATTAAAAAAAATACAAAAATATTATAAAGTAAAGTAATATTTAGCCTTTAAAATATAACAATTGCTGGACAGTTTTGTTTATGTTCGGATAAGGTTTCTTGAAGAAAATGCAGAGAGATGCCATTTAATTTAAGCAACATTGTATGGCCATTATGCCTCGATTGGGTGGAGGAGTTTCACGATTTATTATTTTTTTAGTTTTAAAACGAAGAAAGGCAAAGCAAGTGGTTGCGTTTTTTTTTTTTTTAAAACAGCAAGTTGTTGCGTTTACGTGTCCTTCTTGTATTCGAATTCCAATATATATATATATATATATTTTTTTTTTTTTTAAATTAAAAAATTTTTAAAAAAAAAAAAAAAATTCCAATTCCAGTCCGACTCCAATTCCTATCTTCAAATTCCAAAATCCGCGGCTACGCGAAACCAAAGCAATCAAACAGCTATTTTCCTCGCGGCATATTCCTCGCATGGTATCCTGATCCGATTTAACCGCACATATCTTATATCCACTTATTGTCTACCACGTGTCTATTTCCGTTTCAAAGTGGACTAACCTATGAATTTTCCTTTTATTTTTGAACAAAAGGCTCCACATACAAAACCAGACATCCCCATCGGTTTTGGTTTCTGACGCTCGCAATTTCTCTCCCGTCAGCCTCCTCCCCCTCGGCATTCTCCACGGGTACAATTCATCCATCCCTTTCTTTCTTCAATCCTGCTATTGATTGCCGTTTATGATTTTCTTTCCACCACTTTATTGCTTGCTTGCCGATGGAACCCTGATAAGTTGAACCCAACTGCCAAATTATGTACATTTTGCCCAAATCAAGAATCCAACTGTCATCGAGTACACGGATCCTGGACGGCCGATGGAGCTCTAAATCGTTTAATACGTTTTCATGGATTTGTTTTTGTAACTGCTAGGCTATCTACACATCCTTTCGTCAATACCCTTACTTTACCCTCTGTCTTCTTTATTCATGATTTCATTATTCATCAATCGGGTATCACTATCAGGGCGCAGCGAAGAAGAAACGTTACTCTTTTCAACAACTTAAATACACTTATATATCTAACACAAATTAAGGTCTGAAAGTTTCCTCTAATTTGCCCCTTTAATTTTTAATTGAAAGATTATTTATGAAATTTTAATTTATGGCTCCGCCTCTTTCACTCCGGTATTGGGTTCTTCCTTTCTGGAAAACCTATTTACTTCTCAAATCACGTTTATGTCTCTTTTGGTGTAATTATCTTATGTCAGAAAGTTAATATGGGGCATTTATTGATTTTTAAATTTGAAGTTGTGTATTGGGATTCTACTGTCGACATCTGCGTGTTCCCAAATTGATGTCTGCTTCTTCAAGAGTCTGTTATGACTTTTATGAATATAAGCCTACTTATAACTTCTACTTCATGAGATTAACATACTTTTTTGCTTTAACTTCCTATTGAACTGCAGATTTGTTGGCTTGACCTTCATGAATTCAGCTACTGTAGCACCCTACGTTTCCTGCAAATCGGGAAACAAGAACGACCTCTTCTGGATCCTGTCTTGCCTGCTTCCAAAGTTCTTGGGGACTTCATTTGCTTTTGTTAACTTCCTGTTAATCACAGCAATTGATAGGAGTCCCTCTGCAGTGTTGGCCTTAGAGACGTTTGGGGAAAGCTATCCATAGCCAGGAACTTCTCAGACTGCTTGTAGCTCGTCTTTCTGCCATTTACTTCCTACCATGGTTTCGTCTCAGTTTTGTGGCTTGACCAACACTGGCAAGAATAACCTGATTCGAAGCCAGCTTCTTTTTCCTACAAACACCTCCGATACTGCACCTCTGGATTCTGTTAATTTGGATTTCTCTGACTTATTTGGCTCCATACCGCTTCATGCCTCAACTGAAGTGGAGGCTATTGATGTAGATCTTCATGTCTACCAGGAAGATTCACGTGAGCTTATTTATGATGATCCTGAAGTTATTTACAACCGGTCTCATTCTTTGGTCGGTCCCTCTTCTTGTGCAAGTAAATCTCTTAAGCTAAGCAATCTTACTATTACCGAGACCGAGGATTCAGGGGAATTAGTTGCCTGTATCAGCAAAGAGACCAACAGAAAACTTCTAGAACCTCCTAATGATTCTTTTACTGATACAATAATTGAAGGTGTTGATAGAAGTTACATGAAAGTTGAGAGTGTAGGTATTGACGACTTTGAAGTTCTGAAGGTTGTTGGGCAGGGTGCATTTGCGAGGGTTTATCAGGTGAGGCGAAAAGGTACGTTAGAGATATATGCCATGAAGGTCATGCGAAAGGACAAGATAATGGAGAAGAATCATGTTGAATACATGAAAGCTGAGAGGGATATTTTGACAAAAACTGACCATCCGTTTATTGTCCAGCTAAGATATTCATTCCAAGTAATTTCTGCCACCTTATAGTCTTTAAGTTATGTCTGGATGCCCTAGTATTAGATTGTGTTTTCAGAGACACTTACGAGAGGTTTTTTAGAACTTATTCTTATTGCAACTTGCCTGTCCTGACCTTTAGAACCCCCTCTTCCCAAACACCAGAAAAAATGTCAGTAATAAATGTTAATTTTGTAACTTATGGTTGTATTCTGATGCAGACAAAATATAGGCTATATCTCGTTCTGGATTTTGTAAATGGTGGCCATCTTTTCTTTCAGCTTTACCACCATGGGCTTTTCAGGTACCTTTTTCTCAATGTATTCTAGATTGCTTTAGAATACCTTTAATGCTTAATTTTGTCTGTTTACAGAGAAGATCTTGCTCGTATTTATGCTGCCGAGATTGTTTCGGCAGTTTCTCACCTCCATTCAAATGGCATAATGCACAGAGATTTAAAACCTGAAAATATTTTGATGGATGACCTTGGCCATGTAATATATTTCGTCTTTTTAATTGTGTGTTTGCATGTGTGCACTTGTTCTAATTATCGAATTCAGAAGGCAGTAGAAAATAGAAATGGTTCCACTGATATTGGTTTCCTCCAAACGTAGGTTATGTTGACTGATTTCGGTCTGGCAAAACAGTTTGAAGAGAATACAAGATCGAATTCTATGTGTGGAACTCTGGACTATATGTCACCGGAGATAGTTCTTGGGAAAGGTCATGACAAGGCTGCAGATTGGTGGAGTGTAGGAATACTGTTATTTGAAATGCTTACTGGGAAGGTCAATATGTTTCAATGAGATGTAGTAAAATGGGAATGTGAAATTTATTGTAATGCCATTAACTTTTTGGTTTACCTGCAGCCTCCTTTTACTGGGAATCGGGAAAAAGTCCAGCAAAAGATAGTGAAGGACAAGATCAAGCTGCCGGCATTTTTATCTAGTGAAGCACATTCTCTCTTAAAAGGGGTAAATGAAAGAAGTCCTATTCCTATACCCCACTAACTAATTTCTCAACTTCTGTAATTGGTGGAATGCGTTTTTGGGTCTTTTTTTGGTGACATTGATGAGATAGATGTATGGTAATTCTTGCTGCAGCTGCTTCAAAAGGACGCGAGAAAGCGATTGGGCAGTGGGGCTATGGGAAGTGAGGAAATCAAGCGCCACAAGTGGTTCAAGCCAATCAATTGGAAGAAATTGGAGAAGCGGGAAATCCAACCAAGCTTTCGGCCTGAAGTGGCCGGGAAACACTGCGTTGCCAACTTTGAGAAGCGGTGGACTGAAATGCCACTTGTTGATTCTCCGGTAGCCAGCCCTAAAACCGAAGGGAATCCCTTCACCGGCTTCAGCTATGTCAAACCTGCAGCCTCATTCCTCAACCTCAACAGAGATGCGCCTGTCTATTACTGACATTGAATTCTGAAACCGATTTGCTTTTAATCAATTAGCATGAATAGCCAGACTTGTTACTGAGTTCTGGATTATGATCTGATTGGCAGACAAATTTTCTTGCTTTGTTTGACTAGTAACTTGGAAAATGTGACCGGGTGATTCGAAAGCGAAAGGAAGACATCTTTATTTAAAGTTTTATTGAATTTTATGTTGATGCATTCACAGATACATTGAAAATAATAAAGGATGAGTAACGTTCTTACTGGTAAGGAGCCTATGAATTAGGACCTGCTTTGAAACTATTCCTAAAAGTAGGATTTTAAGGTAACACTTGTAAAATTGTTTCTAAAGCTACCACCATCACATAATTCAAAAAGCATATGACCTAAATAGTGCCAAACCACACCCAGTCACAACTTTAGAACCAGGGTTAGAAATTTATTTATATTATATCAGAAAATCCAAAAAGCTTTTATTCTTCTCTGTTTCTTTTTCCACCTCACGTGTGAAAAGCATTCCCCTTTCAACTTTCAACCCAATCCATTCCCACTGTTTTAATTATGTTTTGGTCATTTCTCTAATTTGATTTCACATGCCAACTGCTCGCAATCTATTTCCCCCTTCAACTAATACATTTCTTTATTTCTTAGTCTTGCGCGTCCCGTTTGGAAAATTACGTATTTTCTTTACAATAAGATACTTATCCGGAAATTATTTTTAACATACCACAAATACAACGTTGGCGCTCTGTCAGATGGAAATAAAGAGAGTCCCATGCCATGTTCTCCTGGTCTTCTTGTCCTTCATAAATTAAAAATAAAAGAAATTTCTGCGGACTGCAGTGGCTCATCTAATAGCAACAATAATATATATAACCAAAAAACCAAATATGCCCTCAATTTTGGAGGGATTCTCATCCCATACCCTGGGGACTCGGGGAGGCTATTTGCCTTATTTCTCTGTCAACTAAGGGATGAGTTGGCTTGGCAAAATACATTGTTGATGACTTAAGTTTGGGTAGGTGTCTATTTGGTCCTTAAAGTTTCAAAATGAACATTTTTAGTTCTTGAAGTTTGAGGTAGATGTCTAATTAATCCCTGGAAGTTTCAAAATTAACATTTTTCATCCTTGAGGCGAGTAGATGTCAACTTGGTCCCTGAAGTTTTAAAATGAACACTTTTGATTTCCAAAGTTTGAGAAATAGTTCTAAATTGTCTTTTTTTTACTGTTAATTAACTAATATTAAAATGACGTGACAAATTGCAATTAAATTGTTTATTGTAGTTGCTGGTGTGACAAATTATATTAATTACACATCAGCAACTACAATAAACAATTTAATTGCAATTTGTCACGTCGTTATAATATTAGTTAATTAACCGTAAAAAAATCAGGGACCAATTAGAACTATTTCTCAAAAACCAAAAGTGTTTATTTTAAAACTTCAAGGATAAGTTGACCCTTACTTTAAACCTCAAGGATTAAAAGTGTTCATTTTGAAACTTTAAAGACAAATTAGACACCTACCTCAAATTTCAGGGACCAAAAGTGTTCATTTTGAAACTTCAGATCAAGTAGACACCCTTCAGAGACAAAAATGTATTTTATCCAAAAACTAAAGAGATGAGACGAGAAAATAAAATAATGTAATTGCAAAAGAGGCCAAATCGGAAATATTAAAGTAAAGGCGGACCGGACGGTGACGATGGGCCAATGACCTCAGGAGCCTTACCTCACTCATCATCACCATTGTTTTGTCCACTCGCGCGTTGTTAGTTTGCTGTAAATCAAGCCGTGGAATCAGTCGCGTGGAGGCCAAACATGGGCGAAGGCGCGTTGGTTTTACCTTTCCTTGTTGTGTGGAAATTTTGCAGTGGAAGTTTCCTTATATCTTCCTTGCATTTGCATTGAAATTGGAGAGTGAAATGTAAAACAATTAGGTCTCGCTCTCTATCCTCGAGTGTGTCTCTTGCTCCATCCATCCACATAAAGAGGGAAGGGGTTGAGTTGAGAGTGCAAGGTGCGAGATGGATTGTTGGAGCATGGCCTTCGATCGACGAAGAGCGGCCGACGAACTGCTTCAAGGGCGTGAATTGGCCCACCAACTTCGGGTGGTGCTACGGAGGATCAGTTCCCACGGCGCCGCCTCCGCCTCCGCCTCCCAAGATCTGATCTCCGGAATCCTAAACTCTTTCTCCAAAACACTTTCCATGTTGAATCATCGCTGCGACTCCGACGACATAAACGGCTCTATTGTGGACTCTCCCGACGCTACAAAATCCCAGGAAGAATCTGGAGAAACTAATTCCAAGACCTCCGATCGCAGGGGTTGCTACAAGAGAAGGTAAATTAAATTCATCCATTAATTCCAATATTTCCCAATAACCCTAGGGTGGTAATTTATTAATTTTAATTTGTTGGTTATTGCAGAAAGAGTTCACATAGTTGGACGAGAGAGAGCTGCAGCCTGGTGGACGACGGGCAGGCGTGGAGAAAATACGGGCAGAAGGTGATTCTGAATGCGAAATTCCCGAGGAACTACTACAGATGCACCCACAAATATGACCAGTCCTGCCAAGCCACGAAGCAAGTGCAGCAAGTGGAAGAGGATCCGCCCAAGTTCCGTACTACTTATTATGGGCATCACAGCTGCACCAATTTCCTCAGAGCCTCTGAGATCGTACTGGGTCTGGGTCAGGACCAGGGTGAGGGCTCTTCCGATTTCAAGGGACTGCTCCTCAGGTTCGACAGCCCCACCACCACCACCACCCAATTGCCTCAACTTCAACACGATCGCGGCCTCTTTATCCACCCTTCCTTTCCAGATATTGATATTGCTAATGCTACTACGGTAATTAAGAAGGAAAAAGATCATGGAATAATCGGAACTGATGACGTGTGTTCGCCTTCCAACTACATAGCTGCGGAGCTCTCGCCGGATCATCTGTCGGAGGTTATGATGGGTTCCGTCGTCGACTTTGAGGATGATGTTTTACAATTCCACTTTTGATCCAATTCCATAGTTTCCAATTAATAGCTAATAGCTACCGCCGCCCGCCCGCCCGCWAGTTTACAAATCTGCAGAAAGTGTTTATTTTTCCCTTTTCTCTACTGCAGCTAGCTGTGTTACATGGTGATGTAAATAAATAATTTGCAACGTCCTACCTAATTACCCTATTAACATATAAGCTAAAATATCCAGCCACTGTTGGGGGGCTTTTTCTTTTGTTAATTGGCTCTTCCAGGTTCACCTCACCTCATCAGTATACGTTAATTACTTGGTTAAATTCAACAAATTAATTAATTTAGACATCCAGTGGAGAAAAACTATTTTATTCAAATTAACAGTACAGGTATCACAATCTTATGCTTTCTACACTTTCCAAGTGATGTTGGATTTTGGATCAGTTTTTCGGACGCAACAAAATACAGGTCAAAGGTTTGAGAGTGTGAAACGGATGCACGTGCCCATTCCTTAAGGAAAAAAAAAATAAAAAGCAGCCAATTGGAAGAGTGTATAGCATTGGCATTTGTCGAGTTATGAAGCAAGATTATAGTTATAGGCAACTATATTATTCCTTCCTTCCTCTGCTCACACTCTGAAATTAAAATATGGAATGAAACCCAGTGAGTTTGCATATTTAATTTGGCTCTCTCTCTTCATCAGGAAAAGACGATAATTAGTGGACAAAATTGAGGGATTGCATTCTTTGGATATGATTAATTACGGTTCGACGTTCGGTAATGTTTGTGTTTCTTCGATTTTAATAAAGAAAAATGAATTACATGATCCCAACATCCATTTAAGTATAATAATTAAAACAATATTTATATTTGTGTTTTATAAATAAGACTTCGTTTATTGCAAGCAATCCACATTCCTGATTCCTCACTGAGTTTTGGGGTGGGAGGCGGGAGAGTTACTGGGTTCAAATTTTATCTAGCCAATTTATAATTCATTGTATTATGGAATCAGCCTTTTGTCTTTGGAATTAAATAGTGCCTTTACACCATTCCAGATAGCCAACACATAGCTTGCCATTGCCATTGCTAATGCTTTTATGTTTTTGTTGTCTTTATCAAATTTGACCCACCTATCAGCAAATCTTTGATTCAACTCAGAGTATATTATAAATGGTTAAATTTACTCTAACTTATAAATTAAACTTTTGAATTTGTTGGTGAATTTAATCATATTTAAAATATTATTAGAAAACGGAATACTGTCTTCAAATTTATGTATTATTATTTACTCCCTATTTAATATTAATTCCACTCGTTGGACTTTTGCAATAAAATTTAATAATGGATGAGTATTAGAAATTAAACTAATAATAATAATAATTAATGAGTATTGTATTTATTGATATATTAATATAGTCTCGGTCGGATCATCAATTCATACAAAAATGTAGGGACAATAAGTTATTATTTTTTTTTTGAGAAACAGTTATTGAACTTAAGTGTAATGAGAAAGTGATTAATACAAAATTAATTAGGTATTGTAAGAGAAGGAGGAGTTAAAAATAATAAGCAATGAGATGCATAAATGTTGGAATTTGTATATAGTCAGTACCAAAAAATAGAAGTTATTCATGTAAATTTATGTGCGCTTTTTATAAGTCAAATGGTTGCATCTTTATAGACCTTGCAATTATGCAATTAAAAATAAATTAAATTAAGCGCACTTTAACCGAAACTCCAATTACCTCAAAAAAAAAAAAAAAAAGAAAACCGAAACTCCAATTGAGCTGAAAAGCAAGGGAATGATACAGAAAATTTATATACCAAATATTTCCATTCGTCCCCATTTAAGTTTCAAAGACTTATTTTGATGTCGCAATAACCCAATTCTGAGGATTGTTATTTTAATAATACTTCTAAATAGTGATGTTTTACTTAAAAACTGACAAAAATTGCAAATTTATATCATCTACCATGTCAAATGGATAATTTAATAACATAATTACTAAAAATATAGAAACTTATTATTCTTAATTTAAACATTGGTTAAGTTAAAGAGGTATGATTTCGATAAAAAGGTTGGAATTCAAATTTCTAAATTAAAATAAATGGAAAAAAGAAAAACTCCCACTTACCTTTTCGAAAGAGATGTTTGAAAGACTCTATCTATTATACTATTTTCTTAACAGAAAACAGCATATAGAAACAAATATAATAGTACAATATATATCTAATAACTTCTGTAGTATACAAATTAGTTTCTCTTGTTTTATTTATAATAGTACAATATATTTATTTCTGAAAAACAATAGCATAATACGATGGACCACATATTTGAAGACAACAAAACTTTTTAAACAATTCCCTCACAGCAGCCAACGTGACTACCATCTTATATTATATTATTATATTTCCAGCTGTCGCTACAAGTGTAAACGCCTTTATTTATTTATTTATTTTCGTACCAACTTCAGCAAAGCTTTTACTTTATTTCTTTTTTTTTTCTGAAACGAAAAAAAAACCTAAAAGCTGAAGCTCAAGGTAAATCAGAATATGCCAAGTGCTAACAAGCAGAGCCGAAGGCCTTCGTGCCATCTGATTCCGCCGCGGATCTATGTTCCATCGTGGCCTTCCATTGTCTTAACGGGTTTGTAAGGAGAGCAAATAAAGTCCCACGTTGGCAAAAGAAAAAGTGATTCATGATAGATAGACGAAAACAATTATTTCTTTTCATATAAAATCTTAATTATTTCTTTTCATATAAAATCTTTTAGGTGAAATCAAAAGTAAGGTCGTGAGGTTAGGCTCAAAGCTGATAATATTATATTATTGTAGAGACACGTAGGTACGAGGAAAATCTAGTTGTGTGGGAAGAATCCTCGACGACATGGGAGATACTTGGAATACGAAGAGTAGCGTTGTCCTCAATAGATATCTCCTTATTCTCTATTATTCAGCAACTTCTCAACTTCCATGAGTATGTTTGAAGGTAAATGCATGATACTTGATACTTCATTTGTACCGCACAAAGGTGTTTTCGACATAGACAATCTTCCTTCCCAATCTTGAACTACCCACCCAAGGCCGCTCCATTGTTGCTCATCGAAACAAGTGGTGTCAGTATTAAGCTTCCACGACTAATGGTGAGAGCAACCAAACGACTGGTATGGTTGTAATTCTTCATCTATCCATTTGGATTTGAAATTTGTCCTAGATTGCAATTTGTGTTGGTCTGCTGATTGTAGTCTAAGTTTAATCATTCTGGTCCATGGCAATTACAATAATTAAGTACCACAATTTAAATACCAATACAACTAATCAAAATGTTTTTTACTTAAAAATCTAATTATTAAAAACACAGCATAGTGAACTATGCTAATCTAGTTCGAATCCCCACCTCAAATTTTGTTGTACTAAAAAATCACGACATATTTCAAAATCAATTATACACACATGCTAGATGTTTGGCAGCAGGATGATGCTTCTAATTCTTGTTCAAATTTATGTTTTTTCCATGATTAGATTGGTATCACAGGTCACATTAGCCAATGATTTTGAGGCATACTCAGTTTCAGACAGGACGGAAACAACACAATACACATCAGCTTCAGCTTCAGCTTCAAAGTGGTGCCTCCTAATCTCACTAAATGCACAGCAATATAGTTGGAACAATCAATAATTGATTGAATCTAAATATGACATCACTCGTATGGTGGCAATTATTTGTAGAGATGAATAGTGTTAGATGTTGTCAACAAAATCCATGGCAGAAAACCCCCAAATGAGTGCCAAGGAAGACAGGGCAAGGGCAACAGGTGTGAGGGACCAGAGCAAGAGGGGAAAAGTGAGCCACATGAGGCGGTTCCCTATAAAAGCCAATGTGAAGCCTGTGTGGACCAGTCTCTGTATGTGGCTGCTTGTGGGACGATGATCAGATGGAATCTCTTGAGCAGTTGCAGTTGCAGTTGCAGTGGTCACTAATATGCAGGCGTCCACCAGAAACCCCGCCCCGAAAGAGCTGCATACGAAGCTCGACACCGACACCACAAACGCAGCCACATATTTCGCAGCAAATACCCCACTCGATTGCTTTCCCATCAAGCCCTCACCAATACTAATACCATTACTAATACTTGCTTTGTAGGCGTTGTTGGTAAGGGCTGCTACGGAGGAGCTTATAATGATTGATATGGAAGCCCTCAGGACTATGATCATCAGATTGTTTCTCAAGCTCTGCACCAGCTGCATGCTCTTGCCGACCCCACCGCCACCGCCCTGCGCCACCAGCGTCCGCTCCAACCACTGGACTCCCATGGCGGTGGCGCCGGGTTTGTTCTTCAAGCTTCGCCACAGATACACGTGATATCCCACCACAAGGAACAGGCTTACAGGCATCAACACCGCATCCAAGTAAAACTCTCCCATTTCAACTATAAATTGGAACCAACAACTGATCTCCTCTTTTAAACACAACATAACCAACCGGGTATTTCGTGTAATAACTTGTTATAATAATGATACGTAGTGCATTTCCAAGTCATCAAAGCTTCTGTGATTGGCGTTCTATTGCATGGTGTTGCTGGGTGATGCTTTCGACGAAAAGGCAGAGCAATTTTTTATTTCTTTTCTTTCCAACTATGGTTAATGGGTTTGTTATTAAAGCACTGAACTTGGATTTGTGGCTGTGGAGGACCTCGCTACAGCAGAAAATAGATTCACAGTTGAAGAAACCCCTGTTTCCACAAGCGCTAAATTTTAAAATTTTAAAATTAAATTAATTCGCATTGAGGCCAATGCCCATCCCCATCCGGATCCATTTGTTTTCCATTAATTGTCTCCAATAAAGTTGCTTAATTAGTTGATCATTGCATCAAACCCATTCGTCGCAGTCAGCATCACAAAAGGCACGTATTTGAAATG